TTATTCCAGGATAACTAAATTTATGTTTTCAAAAATTATTAAGCGGTGCTGCGTTATGACGTAATTTTAATTGAGAACAGTGCATCTGACAACAAACAAATACCTTTTAGATCCTCAATTATTTTGCAACAAATCTGATCTCTCAGTTTGCTTTCAGTCGATGCACGATACCGCATCAGATTTTTAAGGAATATCCTGGGTTTTCTTTGTCCGACCATGCGTTGGACAAAGAAAACCCAGGATATCAAAGAAAACCCAGCAAATCAAATGTGCTCGAAAATGTATGAAAATTTCAAAAATAATTTTTAATTCAAGATAAAGCAGTGGCGTAGTATTTTTTTCGCCAAAAATTTACATTTCAAAACTCGTACGTACGCCACTGGCAGAGAAAATTGAGAAAATTGTACATCAGAAAATGCGCCTTGAGGCATGTAACATATGTACCAAATATGCCAAAGATGTCTACAAAATTATCTCAGTTATTATTAAAAAACTGATTATTTTTGAAAACTTTGCCACCCTGTATCTCAAAAGTTAAGGCGTTTAGGTCATACGTCCATAGGACGTTTTTTCCTTAAAATGGGTCTAAGAATTACCTCCTTAAATATTAGCATGTGTTTAAGGAACACCCTGTATTTATCTTGGTTTTTGTCCTTGTTGAAAGTCGAGATTTCGGTCATTCTTAACCTAAATTTCTTCTTCCTTATTATGTTATCTAGAATACCCCTCGAGAAACCGTTAGTTGCTGCTATTTCCTGTATTGTACGGTTTTCTTTTGTGAACCTCTCATGTGTGAGGGGATGTGCTAGAAAATTCAACCCGGCACGTTTGTGCTGTCCGCAGTGCTGTGAACTGTCAGGAATATACCTGTACGTGCTTCTCTAAACACATCGTATTCTACCCCTCCATATTGGCTCCTTATTATGAAAACTTCAAGAAAAGGAAGTTGTCCTTTATTTTCAAACTCATACGTGAATTTTATTGATGGAAATTTATTATTTAAAAAGGAAACAAAGTCCCCAATATTCGATTTTTTGTTATGGGATATCGCGAAAACATCATCCACATACATTAGCCATATCCTAGGAAAATACTTGACTTTTCTTTAGTTTCCATTTCGAATCTGCTCAGGTTTGCTCAGGTCTACTCAGGTTTGCTAGGTAGGGAGACAAGGCGTTACCCATAGCCGTTCCCTTCTGTTTTGTTTCATACACAAATTAGTGAGAAAAACAAATTCATCAATTTCGTCATTACTGAAATGATTTTTCTCTTGTTACATAACAACCGCGCGTTGAACTTTCTAGATCACCCTCGTACATACATTGATGAATCTTACGTTTGACTTTACCGAAGTCGTATTCCCGAAAGCCACCAACTAACCCATTTCGTAGATTCCCAACTAGTCACAATCTCCACTCCATTCTCTCTTAGATAACAGAAATACATCAACGTTAAGTTACTGGAGTCCCCGTCTCAGGTCACCGGAAAAACTCCAGACGAAATCAGCAATTCCCTCCCAAGACGACTTGTCTACTCCTCTAAAGAAACTCGTATATAGTAGAGACATTCCAGAAGTAATTATCGTCATCATTCTTTCCAGATGTTGAAGTCCTGCAGGAAACTGAGCATGACAGTTCGATCTCCGACGCTGCCAGCAGGAAGTCTTGGGGGTGGCGCACCATGGCAGATGCGACAGACTTGTTCGTGGATGGACAGACACGGCAGACCAGTGTCGCCGCCGTCGGAATACGCGAGGGGTGGCCCGGTGCCGCAACAGAAATACGGCTGGAGGTCTTCGAGCAAAGACAGGAATATAAGAAGAGTGAGTATTTCAAGTGATTCTTAATTTTATTGGATATGATTTTTTTACTCGCTACCAAATTGAAAATTGTTATAATTTTATTGACAAGAGTATTACTTATGGAACAAATGAATATTTTATTGAAACAACGATAAAAATAAAATAAAAACAACAATAAAAATAATGAATCGNAGATGATACCTTCTTACGAAACTGCAGCTGCATGAACAGGTGTTTGAGTTTGATAAATAGTAGGAAACATTCCCGTTCTCGTTCATCATTAAAACTTCTTGAAATTCTTCGTCATGAACAACGCTTGTAAAATGCTATTCATATAGCAAGTATTTCCTAAATCATCCAATCCAATTTTCTTCTCTAGATTTCCAGGACAACTCTCTACTGATTTGTAAGGAAGAACACGTTTCGCAGAATCTCCATAAGAACCATTTCACAAGCTGCGATCGATCCTTCCAAGTGAAAAAGGGTTTCGTAGAGGGATCGATTCGGCGCTTGCTTCATGAAGCTCTTCCACTGAAAGGGAACCAGAACTACGAGGACTGTAACTCATATTTGGGGGGCAAGAATGACCTGAGTCCACTAACCGCACTGAAAAAGAAGAAGGTGGATCAATCACTTGTGAATTAACCTTGATATTCTGCGGCTGTGTATTACTACACTGTACTGTACACCAAGATACAAGTTACGTATGCAATATTCGAAAAGAATTCATTTTGGTCGAATATAACATTAACAGTTCAACCAAGGCAACAAAAATACCTGATTATTCAATTGACATTTCCTTTCAATTCTTGTTTTGTCGACTTACCATGTAGTCGCGTCTGGAACAGCGGAAGAGGAATACTGGCTGGTTTTCGGTATATTCGGCATCAACGGGTCTTTCCTCTTTCATGGGGATCGTTCTTTTCTTATAAAGTTTCCAGATTGCGAAGACAGCGGCAGCAACCAACGAGAGAGTTATAAGGATGCTTGCAGAACTGGCTACTGCAAGGTGAATTCATTTTGTGCCTTATATTTGAACTATCTGGGCATCGTCTTTAAGTTCATGAATTTTCTTTAGGTCTATAGTGTTCAGGTAAATTTTTCTGGGTTGCAGCTCTTCAGGGTTAATCTTGTTTATTTCGATTTCCGGAATGGTTAGAGGATGGCCTCTCACAATTTATTTTTTGTTCCATAACTTGAAGTCTCCGATTGTGATTCCGTAGTTGAATGGTACTTCAACAAGGCTGGGTTCTCCTATGAGTNAAGTAACTCCATACATGGATGTGTAGATCATGCAAAGAAGTAACTTTCAGACACAAACTGAAAGAAAGTCCTCCTGAAATAGCTACTTTCTTATAAACATTGAATTACACGAAAGAAAAAAATTCTTTCGGAACAAATACTTCTATATGAACACTGAATTACACAGAAGACACTTTTCTCTACTCAGTTTGTATTTCAAACATTCATTGTGGAGTAAAATCAGATATTATTCAGATTGTTTCTACTTCAAATGAATGGTAACAAATTGCACTTACATCCTCACTGGTATACATCGATGTTTCGCCGTAAGATACTTGCCTTAAGGCTCTTCAGTACCAAGTGAACATTATAGAAAATACACACAATTAATTCATTCATGAATTATGATTTTGAATGTCACGGAATAAGCTTGATCTGCTTATGTCATCGATGATATCGTAATGACATTCATTCACCTATTTGATTTAATCCCAGCCAAGAGGAATCTTATTAGCAAAGACAGCTTTTCTGAGATTATTTTTCATAACAAAAAAGTTTTGCACGTCTCAGCCACTTTCATCCGTCTGATTGCAGAAACAAACACCGAAAGCAAATTTGATTATCTGTGATTTTCGTGAACAAATTATCAACAGTGAAACTAAAATATCACTTTTCTGAAACTCAATCACACGCTTCACAATATTCGGCAAAAACTACATCGACTAATTAACTAATTTGAATTAGAAGGTCAGTTGCATGTTGAAATCCATTTTTTCAATCTTCACAAGCAGTCGAAGCGATGAGACAATCATAAACATGTGAGAATCCTGTACGCATTTGGCCTGAATCTGTGGTTCAAATTAAGTTTCATCAGCATTGTCGTTCAGTAACCTCCGTTTGGATACACGATATACTGTTTTTATTAGTTCCCAAAAACGAACTTCGAAAGGAGAACATCGTAAATAATGGTGGCTCCGCAAAGCTATTATTTGGCGAGACATTTGAACAGTTGTTTTCGTCTACAAACTTCAGGCTCCTTTTGCCATTATATTTTCATGACATCTCATAATGGGGATGATTCATTCGCTTCAATTAAAGATAACATGTCTACTATAGATACGTAATATTTTACCATAATGTTGGTACTTGATTTTATATTTGTTCTTTTGGTTTTCACTGAATATACAGTGTGACCCATTTTTAATGGAAACACCCCCCTAAAATTTGAAGTTGTAAATCGATTTTAATATATTTTTTTTTAAATGTCAAGTACTAAAAGGTCTACTTTGGGACAAAATTTGAAATGTTTATAGAATCTATTTATTTCTAAACATTCTAAAAGATTGAGTTTCAAACTTTTCTCTCTTGAATATAGCACTTCATAATCGTTATTGGCCTCACGTTCTCCTGCTGAAAGATTGTTTGCAAATGTTGAATTGGTTTCCCCATTAAAAAAACAATTTTCATGAACTTTAATTCTTTGGGTAAAAGTTCTCTCCGTTTGACCAATATAGGGTTTTGGGCAAGAACCAGAAGTCAACTTATAAAATCCTGATCTATCCGACAATGAAATTGTGTGTTTCTTGTTTTTAATAAATTTGCTTGAATTATTATTTGTTCTTCAATCCACATTGAAGCCTTACGTACTTTTGATTTAATGTGTATCGATCTTTTGGGCATGTAGATCAAAAATCCTATTTGTCCCTTTTAAGATTCACCAGCAGTATAAAACAGCTTCGGCTAACGTTCCTACATTCCTACTTGTTTACTATAACATCAAAGTCACTCCTGGTGTTCACAACATTGCAGCCCTCCGCTCAAACGATAAGGTCAGCACGGTAGCATGGGGTGGTATTGTAAGGGTTGATAGTGATTATTCGTACTGGCAGAGTGAGCTCCAATGATTACCACCTCTTGTGGAATGCTTCATAAAAGCGGAATAGTGAAGAGTGGAGTGTATGCGGTCGTGTGGAAATTGGGTTCAGATAATACCCGAACGCACGATTTCAGGGCATTTTTCAGAGAATCGCTGCTGTCACACACTACGGGAATTTGTAATAAAATCTCTGCTCACTGCAAATGATGATGAATGTACGTCTGACATGATCGCGAATGAGGGGATATGTCATAGTGACGGATTTACTTTGAAATCAGCAGTTTTGTAGTTGTAAAATGTGTAAACTGAGATATTACTGGAGAAAATATATTTTGAAATAACTGAAATTCATTCATACAGTGTAGTCCACTAAGTGTGCAACAAATGGGAAACTTTTTTATTATTGATTTCTCAGAAAATTTTATTCTTGACAAAAGTTGGTGCATGTTCCAAAACTATACTAAGTGTGTCTGAAATAGCTTTATGAGAAACACCATACAGGATAGGCCAAAAAATATAAAGTTCGTTCAAGAGTAAAGTACCCTTATTTCAAAAAATATAGAAATATGTTGAAGAGAAAAATTGCTTTGAATTAAAAGTTATGTTCAGATACGAAGTCATGGCCTGCTATTCGATTTTTGTTTCTTTTGGAAAATTTTGAGTTACCCCCGTATGATACATATTTTTACTATTTTGATTCAATATGTATTTGAAGTAGCCACAATCAAATCAGTTTGGAGTATTTTTTATCAAATTGAAGTGTATTTGTAAAATTTACTTGGATTTGTATTGTATTTAGGTGACCGTCAACTTCATGTTTGTTGCAACGATATTTAACAGAACTCTAGAATAAAACAAATACTCTTTTTAACGAGGCAAATACTTTACTAAGTATAATGTTCATATGCATGGCCATTTTTGGGAAG